TGACACAAAGTGCTGCAGGCCAACTGATATATTGGTCTCTATGTGACAAGTGACAAACGTCACTAATGCCCAGAGGTTCACACAACCTTTACTGGAAAAACACACTTTTTATTGGCAGTCGTTCATGGTAACCCTCTCTTCATTAACACTAGCCTAGATTCTACTATTGGAGGTAATCCTAGGATTCATTTTAGCATGCAGTAACATAATTTAAATCAATACAGTAACAGATAAAAAAGTAACATAAATGATGTAAATACTGGCGTTGCTATTGCTTTAAAAAAAGTCTGCATTTTGCTTCGAGATTAATGTAACCTGTAGCTTATTAGCACATGTACTTCAGTTCGCTCCAATAATCAACTCTCAAAACCATGCAGCACTTTATGGATCAGAGCCATTACACAGAAATGAAAACGGAGTGTATACAAACACTTCAGAGTGTTTAAGAGCCATAGCCCACTACTGACTAACCAGACAAATGGATCTGTATTTACTGGAAATTTCTAAGTAATCTCAAATGTTGACAGACTGCATATTAGCAGCATCCAGGAGATTCTCCCTGAACTAAAATAAAACGAGAAACTTAACAAGCAGGCAGCTGGAGTAGGACAAAATCTAGCTCAAGTGTTATCTAATCCTGCTGCAATACAACATCCAGTTGCAACACATACTTTGAAATCATTTCTCCAAGAGATGGCTTTAGTCAGGCTCCATCAAGCTCCCCGTTGCTAAGACCCCCATAGTTATGCTAAAGTTGGCTTTACTGGCAAAAATTATCTATTTACTCTATTGACATAAATTTGAGTATTGTTTAAATGCTTAGTAAAACTTCACAGTAAGGGGTCCAAGGGCACTTAGATTATTTATGTGCCCAACCATCTTTGCAATCCATCCAGGATGTAGAGAAGAATCATGCAGTAGCAAGCATACATAAACAGTGCCAAATCAGTTCACAACTACCTGACAGAAACCAGTTAATCTCCATAGTTTTAACAGAGATTCATCTCCTCCTGGTATATAACATGATAGATAATAATATTTACATAAGTATATTAAGTTTTTGATGGCACCAAAACTTAATAGCTACATGGGAAAGCTTAGTTCTACTGTCCTAGCTAATTTTAGGCAGAACAACTTGAAGACAAGCAACAAAACACTAAATGGGATAAATTAATATAACCCACGGCAAAAGCATTGTTGTCACCCTGATCTTTGGAACCTCATTGTCAATTACCATCATAATGCAGCTTGGTATAATTGTCACAGACTGGCATGACGAGATTGGCATGACCATATAAGTTAATAATTTATTTCCATCCACCTTGTAAAGATCAAACTTCAAAGTTAATAAGTTTGTCCATTTTCAGTGTTCTGAAACTGGCATGTTGAAGAAAGCCACGAAGCCAAGAATACACACCCTTAGTTTTCATGACTTTCATGCAACCAGCAATACTAAAAACCAAGTTTTACAATGCACCATCTAAACAAAAATTGCAGTTTTGACAACCACAGGAGGAAGGTAGAAGAAGAAGAAAGGTGGTGGAATATTCCAACATTAAAAAAAAAAATCTATAAAAACTTTTAATTATAATTTTAGATGGAAACCCAGCTTTTATAGGATCTCAGAAGAACTCTGAATAAAGTGTGTATCATACCTAGTGTATGTAAGAAAACTGAAGTCTGATTTCAGTGCACTAAGAGCCCTAAGTAACTCATGTAAATTGTGAGAGAGATAAAAAAGACTGCTCCTTGTTCCAGCACGGACATTCCACCAGACCTCAGAGAAGAACAGTTCTTTGTGCTGCCAGTGCTACAGCAACATAGAGACACCAGGAAACTCATAAATAGTGACTAACTGTGCAGGTTCTTACTTAACTGACAGACCTGTGGTGCTCATCTGAGCAGGATCCTAAGGATTCATGCCCAGGGAAGAAATGCTACGGAAGAGAAAAATGTGACACAAATGGAGCAGCAACAAGCTTTAATGTGAAATTCAGGACCCAGCTAGTCGCTGCTCCCATGGTGAAAGGTTTGGAGTTAGCTGGTTAGCCTGGCTTCTGAGGGAGCCCGAAGAACCACAAGTGTGGAGAGGCGAGATCTGAAATAACTGACTGGAAAAGCTGAAAGATCTTCCTGTTAGTTGAGGATTCACTCCAGAAGACACTCCCTCTTTTTTAAGGTTCAGAAAAACTGCTGAAGTAAGTTTGATGTAGAAATTCATACTTAACCTGCAGAATGTCACTTGACTGTTATTTTTTCAGAGGTTAATACAACAGAGCGAACTGACTTTTTTTTTAAATACAGAAACACTACTTCAGGTACCTTTGTATTTCTTGAATGAAGTGAATCAGCAGGTTCTTGGAGAAAACGCAGAACCCACGTAAAAAGTAGAAAAGCTTTCTTGAAATGCTCAAAGAAAGAGGTCATTTCCTGATTGTTAGATTTCACATATGCATTATAAGAATTATTCACATTATTTCAGGCTTCAATTTTCTACTGGATACAACAGAAGGGCTTCAAAAGTTGCATTACATCCCTGCCAGAAAGATCCCTTCTACAAAGACTGTAATGAGAGTTAATAATTTTGTTAAGCAACAATAAATTGGCTGAACTATAACCAGACACCAGGCATTCTTGTTTATGTAAATAAATAAATAATATAGATTAACAATGATAACTACAAAGGTCAAGATACACTCCAATGCAATAAAAAGATAAAATTTGGCTCAGACAGAAACTAATTTTGCCCATTTTCTAGCTGGCTGAAGGGTAAGATGGGCATCCAGGATTAGCATAACACTGGACATGGGCAAGGACACTTTTTGAGACACTGAACTTGGATTCAGCACCATGTTAACACAACTACTCACCTTCCATTTTATAGTTGTCTGATCTTTACCCAGTTCCAATTATAGGGGCTAGCATGTATATATTTCCCAAATGTCTCACCTGTACCTGACAGTGCAGCAGTTTATAGTGGGGTGCAGTATTTCACAAAAAGATGTTAATTCTGGAATTCTGCTCTTTATATAAAGGCAGCTTTTTTTTCCCTCACCAAATTTTGCTTACTTCTTTGTAGATTTTATTTTAGAACTTTCTGTAAGTCAAGGTGATAAAAAACTGCATGAAAATGTGGGCAGAAACTGAATGTGAAAACTACATAATGAGACCTATATGGTGGTGTTAAATAAGTGCCTTGAGGTACTTCCCTCCCTGCCGTTAAGAGTTTAACAGTCTGAACGCCTTCCATCTGGCAGGCTTCCTCACACAACAGGGACCTGGCTGAGGATTCCTGCTCTCTCCCAGCCTTGGCTGTGCTGGCTCACCAGGTTAGCTCCATGTGTTCCAAAATGTTCAGTATCACCCACGCTGGGGTCCATGCTGTGCCCTCACAGCAACCATTCCTCTGGCAAATGAAGGATTCTTTATAGTCCCTTCTCTTCCCCATGCAGTTTAGGCAAACCTCCCAGGTTTGAAACATCTGCTGGGCGAGAGGAGGTGGCTCACTTCAAAGGAAATTAATTCAGAAACACTCATAAAAGGAGCTCTGCTGACAAATTTGAGATAACTTCTGTAAATTACTGCTGGGAGAGTCTTCTTGGACTGGACCAGCTGTAGTTAGAACACAATGTGTGCACAACTACAATAGATTAGATTGCACCAAATCCCATCTTTCAAAAGACCAAAGGGTCTGGATAAGTTAATTCAACTCTTATGATCAGCTTCTAGTACACTGTTTTGGCTGCAAGTATGGCACCTTTAACTACATTACCTGCAACAAAATAAACCTACATTCTTTTTTCTTTTCATCAAGTAAGAAATACCTCTTGAACTATTTTTCCTCCCCAGTCTGTCAGATAGATTACTATTGATTTCAAAATGAAGCTGAGTGGAGTGAAGTGCCACATTATTCTGGTGTTGCTAGCAAAGTCCTAAATTTATAGTTACACTTCAGTAAAAACTCTTGTTCCAGGCTGTAATCCACAGATGTACAAGATTTGGATAACATGAGACACTTAAAATTTCTAAGTAGAGCACAACCCATCACCTGTGTGCTAAGCAAAATCCAATCTGGTGTTCAGGACTCACAACTACATTTGGAAGCTGACAGAGAGCAAAGCTGATGCCATCCATATGAACAGAAGAGTTAAAACACCAAACCAGGTGAAGATAAAAGCTGGGTCATTAGTTTTGTTCAGTTTCAAGTATCACCAATTAGACAGGAAGGCAAGTGAGGAAAGAAGAAGCCAAGGGAGGGAAGATTCACATCCTGCTTTATCCTTGAACTGACTAAAGCTGGGACCTATGGAAATCAACCATGTCAGGTTAATTCACTAGGCTGCACAACTTTTTCTGATGTAGGAACGAGTCAGATGCACTTAGCATTCACTGAACATGTTGTAATGAAGAAAACTTCTAGAAACTGCTCAGAATGTAAATGATACATTAAAGAGTAAGCACATGAATACAGAATATCATCCCGATTTTCATAGCTCAGCACTAGACAAGAAGCAAGCAGATTGCTTTCTGAAACACTCGGCAGACTTTCAGTAAATCCTCTGCCCCACACTTACTATGTTGAGCGGAACAGATCTCTACCAAATTATAACAGACAAAGTAGAGATTTGGTTTTTGTTGGGTAAACGTATTTCCTTCAGCTGCATAAAGACTCTCCCACAAACATGAAGATACAACAGAGGCAGAAATTTTCTGTCTGATTATTGCTTTCATTAGCTGACTTTATTACAACTCAAATACGGTGAATAAAATGAACGGATTAGCAGTTTTCTATCATGACAAGCAATAAAGATACTATCGTGATTTGAGAGATTCAGCAAGCAGTGTAGTTACCATTGGAAATCTCAATGAACTATAGCAAACTTCTCCTTGAAAAGATCAGTGCCTCAGTTGAGCTTTAGTCAGCCACATCATCCTGTAAATTGCTTTCAAGATAAGCCAGCACATAAATTCTCTTTGCAAAGATACATTACTTCAGAGCAGTCCTCCTACAGACAGAAACATGGCATTTAATGGCACTTGGAAGATAGACAAAAATGAAAACTATGAGAAGTTCATGGAGGCAATGGGTGAGTCTCACTTTTGCAATGCCTTCTACAAGAATAACAGCAGTATGGCTGAACACAAACTTGAGTGCTCCATGAGCTACCTGCTGGCTCACCTCTCCTTCTGCTCTTTGCTGCTCTGCCCTCGCCGAGCATGCAACATTTATTTTCAAAAGATTCCACGGAGGGGGAGGGAGGAGGATACTGAGGGGATACTGAGAAATAGCCTGATTTTAATTAAATTATGTTAATCTTAAGCAACTTAACTAACTCCGGCAGAGGAAAGAATCTCTAAGTCTACATTTGAGAAGAAGGCTCAGAAAATTTTTATTATATACTTTGGGCAGAATCCTATAGCTGGAATATTGTTTTGATAACATGAAAATCGTTTTAAAATTACACAGGGTGGAAATAATAATTCTTCAATTTTACAGAAACACGATTTAACTTATTTTAACATCCTGTTACTTTAAGTTTGCACAGACTGTGCATTATATGGATCTAAGCCTAACCAATGCAGTCAGATAGTCATTTGTATTATATCTGTACTGGTGAATATGCCTCAATAAAAAGTGAACAATAAAATCTGGGTCAGAATGCTGAAATAAACTCATTCAGCCACATAAAAGTCACTAAAAAGAGACAAATACAATGCTTTAGGCATTTGTTTTCTGACTGATGTTAATTGATTTTTGTAGGTGTTAACTTAATGAAAAGAAAGTTAGGAGCTCATGATAATCTGAAGATCACTTTTCAACAAGATGGAAACAAATTTACTGTCACAGAATCAAGCAACTTCCGTACCATAGATATTGAATTCACTCTGGGAGTCAGTTTTGAATACAGTCTGGCTGATGGGACTGAACTTACTGTAAGAGACTTTCAATATAATTATATCTTTATAATAGATATATATACAATCTTGATAATAACTTTATGAAGTAGTTTCAAATGAGCAACTCTCTCCCTCATTTGTTATTTAAATTTTCAAGTGTGACTGTTTAGGAATGCTTGCGGCTTATATGCAAAACCACAACGTAGTCTTAACTATTAATGGTTCAAGAATATACTGTGAAACTCAGGGTTTCCTAAAGAGCCCAAAAAGCGGAGTATGCAGCAATTTTCCCCCTACAAAACCCAGGTGGTAGCAATTTTACTTCTTACAATACTCAAGTACACCACCTAGCGTGAAGAGTGGGGATTTATAAGTAGTTATTTTTTCTCTGTTGATACAGTTACTTAAAACAAGGTGTACTGAGCACAAAAAAAAAAAAAAAAAAAAATCTAGCTTGACTATTATGCAATTAAACTACTGATTTTATTAAAATTTCATTTTTACACCCTTTCCATCAACGTCCAGGAAAGCATTATTACACTGTTTTAATATCTTCTCACTTTAATCATTGCTGCAGTCCTTAAATTAAATCAATGTCATATTTATTGCAAATTATTAGGGATTTTTTCTCCCATTATAGGGTTCTTGGAACATGGAAGGAAATAAACTTGTAGGAACATTTACTAGAAAAGATAATGGAAAAGTACTCAAAGCATGCAGAGAAATCATCGGCGATGAACTCGTTCAGGTGAGTTAAGCAGTCACTCACACTCAACTTTACAATATAACAAACTGAAAAAAATTTAAAAGCTGTCCTGAAAGTAAGAAGTCTTTACTTCAAGCCAAATAACTTGATTTATCTTTAGTTAAAATTCATGAGGAATCCATCAAAATTTAAAATTTTAAAATAAAACTCGCAATCTGTGATTTTTGTTTTTCTACCCATGTGAACTTTATCCTATCAATGTATTCTGAAGCCTGTGAACACAAGCTGTATAAGAAGTTACAGACATAAATTTATGTGCACCATATAGATGTGTTCTGACTGAAGGCCCTTTTCCAAAAGCCCACCTCATAAAAGCCTCACCACAGGAGCTTACTACTGGCTAACGCTGTCAATGGCTGAGAAAAACCCTTTTAGAACAAAGTTTGGGGCTGTGGCAAGGGATGATGGCACAGACGGGTAAGTCTGAGGCAAACGGGAAATGTTTCACAGCTCTGCAGTAAAGCTAGAAACTGAACTGACCTGGAGGGCTTGCAGGTCCTCCCCACCAGCAGGTCACAAGCTTGCTAAAAGAGAAATAAAGCCCCAACCTTATGGACAGGTGTGAGATCTGAGATACCAAACCCATACAGTCCAACCCTTCAGTGCTTCTTCACACTTTTAACACAAGCAATCACACGTGAAACTTGTTAGGAGGCAGCACTGGGCACATGGCACTTCAACACTTTGGGTTTTCTCTGAAGTCCCCAAAAACTGTCTGTGGTGGTTCAAATGTTTGCACAGGGAATTTACACCAATTGACTACAACGTGCTTTCCTTACGCTCTGTTCCTCAGAGCTTGCACGAGGGCTGGAATGCCCCACATGGCCACCAGTCACAACGCAGTAATTCTCTACTGATCAGCTCTCAATCGCATCTGTGAAATGAAACTGCAATTGCAGCCACTGATTTTAACTTTTCATTTCTTAACAGACCTATGTATATGAAGGAGTTGAAGCCAAGAGAATCTTCAAAAGAGCCTAAGTACTTCACCCACCACAGCACCAGAATCAAAAAAAAGTAGAAAAGACCCTTTTTCTACATATCCTCTGCTTTTTGTTTGTTTCATCCCCTCTCAGCAGCTCCTACACTGCAATTACTTAGCCCTGTTGAAAACACAGGGTAATTCCTTATGTTTACTGTTTTGCCCTCAATAAACAAAATGCAATTACAATTTCATACAAACGCTAAAATGCTATTTGTACTGTGTCCTAACTGAGTACCATACTGTACAAAGCTGCAGAAACTGTTTTCTATAAGCAGAACTGCAATATTTTTTGCGCTGGTTCTCCAAGTGCAGCTTGCTTCCCTCACCATAATGTTTCTGCTAACGGTTCCTCTGTGTATAATGAGCCGAGGGCTGGAGCAGCTCTGCTGTGAGGACAGACTGAGAGAGTTGGGGCTGTTCAGTCTGGAGAAGAGAAGGCTCCGAGGTGACCTTATTGTGGCCTTCCAGTATCTTAGGGGGGCCTACAAGAAAGCTGGGGAGGGACTTTTTAGGCTATCGAGTAACGACAGGACTAGGGGGAATGGGGCAAAGCTGGAAGTGGGCAGATTCAGGCTGGACGTGAGGAAGAAGTTCTTCCCCAGGAGAGTGGTGAGACCCTGGAATGGGTTGCCCAGGGAGGGGGTTGAGGCCCCATCCCTGGGGGTCTTTAAGGCCAGGCTGGATGAGGCTCTGGGCAGCCTGATCTAGTGGGAGGTGTCCCTGCTCATGGCAGAGGGGTTGGAACTGGGTGATCCTTGTGGTCCCTTCCAACCCTGACAGATTCTGATCTGTTTTAGCAGAGGACTTTAGAGCCCTAATGGCTCAATGGTTGGATTTGATGATCTTGGAGGTCCCCTCCAACCTAAAGGATTCTATGATTCTAACGGTGGCAAAACCTAGAAGAAACCTGACAACACCTAAGCCTCTAAGACTATTCTGTGTAAATATAAATACGGAATAAATATAAAATATGGTGGGATAATACAGCTCACTTGGAGGATTTAAATGATACCCTGTAGTTACCTTGCTTAAATCAATAAGAGTAATATAAAGCTTGTGCTGATGATATACAGATATCTCACATAAAGTAGTTTCATTGTATTAGTTTCTAAAAGTACAGCCATGCTTTTACACACACAGATTTTGAAGTGTTCCAATTTATTTGAGGTTTAAATCATTCTGCATCAGGAAGATTATTAGCAGGCTCTGAGTGAGTTTCTTCCAGGACATGAATAAAAATACTGAAGGTATCTTTAGGTGATGATTTCAGACTACGTTGATGTCAGACATCGGTGCTTCTGATGGGTGACAAACACACCCTGCCTTCTGCTCGTTGTTTCCCCCAGTTCTCTCCGAACCTCCTCTCAGCCTGTAACCGTGCTCTTCAGCGTCCCTCAGCTCCCTCTACTGCCACAGTGCTCGCACAACGCAGACAGCGTTCCATTTAAGAGTAGGATCACCCCTCATGGATTTCCCTTTCCTCCTCCAGATATTGATTGTGTACAGCTTCCAGTGTAGCTGTTTTTACATGATCATCTTTCAGGGGGTAGATATACCACATACACCGCAGTAAAGAGAATACTGTTTTACTCATTCTTTCAAACTTCAGTTACAAAGACATGTAAAACTGGGAAGCCAACGTATGAAAAACTAAAAACCAAACCAATCTAACACCCTAAATTCTGGAAACAACGCTATTACAAAATCCTCTCTATCTCTAGGCTATTTTTCTTAGATACTAAAGCCTTTTAAAGAGAGACGGATAAAGGATAATGGCATGCAATGAGCTATGTGACAGATTCTTTCAGTTAAGCCAGGCACACTGAAAAAGCAGACTGAACTATCAGACAGAAACCCCAACCATCACAGTGCTATTATAGAATTTGACCTTTGTTATCAGCTGCATGTCATTATTTCTTCTAAATTGCATAGAAATATCTTAACAATTACATGTCAAAGGTTTCAGGAAATTGGAGAACCCCTTTTTATTTCTTTCAGAGACTTCACTGGCTGGAATGAAAGCTGTATTGTTTCTGAATTTCTTTTTTTCTCTGAATTTGCTCACTCTTTAAGTCTTGCACCCTTCTACTTCAGAAAGTCAAACCCTGGCCCTCTGCCACACCCAGCCCTGTAATACCCTGATTCAGGGTTATTTTGATCTAGATTTCTTTGATTGATTTGCTACCATAAACAGTAGAGTATTTTTTTCATCAAGTATTTGAGAAATGAGTTAATTCTGGATTACATGTAGGCCACAAACTGGAAAGTGATATGAAAATTATGTATTAAAAAAAAAGAGAGAGATCAAAAGTATTTAACAATTCAAAATAGTGCAGACAGCTCTGGTCAGCAGCTGTACTTAAAATATAATGAAAAATCTTGATATGCTATTATTAACTCTTACTTGAGACAAGATAATCAGTTCAAAGGATGGAGAAGAATGATACAGTTTTGGTAAACAAATAAACCAGATCATTATACTGGAATGTGAATGAGGTAGCCTAGTAAATTTGACTAGGAGAGGTTTTGTTTCCTTGGCAGGAATTTCACAATTACATGACTTGGCAACCTAACAGAAAATTGTTTGCTCTAGGGAAACCTTCAGTCCACAAGTCCTTGTGCTCAAATGAGGTAACACAGATGGGTACAAGGCTTAAACGGCAAGTACTGTCATTGTTCTCCTCCAAAACCTCTAATATACTTCACGAAACACACATATGCTTAACTTATATTTGCTATATAAAGACAAATGCACGTTCACCCTTATTTCTAATGATAGAACTTACTGAGGAAAATAGCTTATCCCTAAGTGCATGCTCATGAGAGGTCACGCTGATCAGATCCGTCTGCTCTGCACTCTGCAGCAAGTATTGCCTTTCCTCTTCACAGGAGGCTAAAAGGGCTAATAGCTACAATGTAGCTCCTTGACGTTTTTGTTCAGTATATTCTGTCTCTAGTCACTCTATCAGATAATAACTGTCCTTTCAACACTGAGCGAATCGGCTGGATTGAGAGTGGTGCATCCCAGCTATGGGGAAGGCATAAACTTGCTCAGCTTAGTTTATTTTTTTATGCAGCTGTGAGTTAGGTAAATAAAACAGACAGTACACATCAACCGAGTAAACGTCTCCATCCTTGTTTAGCATGTAGGAACTCCAAGTAACCTTCGAGGACTGGAGTATATCTTAGAACAAATTCAGTTTTCCTAAACTACCTCATTAGAGGATTTCCCTAAGGGACTTTTAGTTTCTTCCAGGGCATCATCTGCCCTTCAAGAAACCTTTGTTACCAGGAAGGACTTGTGAATGTTTACTTCCACACGACGCCCAGTACAGCTAAGAGAACAAGGCAGCACGGTTTGACAGGACCGACCGCCTGCTCTTCCCCACACCCTTGTCTCACCTGGCCAAGCGCCCTGAGGACGGGCAGGGAGCAGTAACAGGGCACCGCCGCAGAAAC